CTCCTCGTCCTCCTCCTCCTCCTCCTCCTCCTCCTCTTCCTCCTCCTCATCCTCCTCCTCCTCCTCCCCCTCCTCCTGGTACTCCTCCCCCTCCCCTCCTCCTCCTCCTCCTCCTCCTCCTCCTCTTCCTGGTCGTCCTCCTCCTCCTGGTCGTCCTCCTCCTCCTGCTCGTCCTCCTCCTCCTCCTGCTCGTCCTTCTTCTCCTGCTCCTCCTGCTCCTCGTCCTGCTCCTGCTCGTCCTCGTCCTCCTGGTCTTGCTCGTCCTCCTCCTCGTCGTGCTCTTGCTCCTGCTGAAAATGTGGCCCAGGAATGGAGTTCTGGGACTCGAAGAGCACGAAGTGGCCTACAGTTGGCTCCGGGCATTCAAAATGTGGCCCGGGAATGGAGTTCTGGGAACTCGAAGAGCACGAAGTGGCCTACAGTTGGCTCCGGGCATTCAAAATGTGGCCCGGGAATGGAGTTCTGGGAACTCGAAGAGCACGAAGTGGCTTACAGTTGGCTCCGGGCATCCAAAATGTGGCCCGGGAATGGAGTTCTGGGAACTCGAAGAGCACGAAGTGGCCTACAGTTGGCTCCGGGCATCCAAAATGTGGCCCGGGAATGGAATTCTGGGAACTCGAAGAGCACGAAGTGTGTGACTGTTGCATCCGGCCCTCCAGAATGTGGCCCGGGAATGGAGTTCTGGGAACTCGAAGAGCACGAAGTGTGTGACTGTTGCATCCGGTTATTCTAAAGGTGGCCCGGGAATGGCGTTCTGGGATCTCGAAGAGCACGAAGTGTGTGACTGTTGCATCCGGTTATTCAGAATGAGCCTGGGAATGGAGTTCTGGGAAGTCGAAGAGCACGAAGTGGCCTACAGTTGGCTCCGGGCATTCAAAATGTGGCCCGGGAGTGGAGTTCTGGGAACTCGAAGACCAGGAAGTGGCCTACAGTTGGCTCCGGGCATCCAAAATGTGGCCCGGGAATGGAATTCTGGGATCTCGAAGAGCACGAAGTGTGTGACTGTTGCATCCGGTTATTCAGAATGAGCCTGGGAATGGAGTTCTGGGAAGTCGAAGAGCACGAAGTGTGTGACTGTTGGTGAAAAACGAGATGGGCACCCTGCCGCCCGGCAACTCCCAACACCTGCCCGGACCCCCCTGTGGAGTGATCTGTGAGCTCTTTTTAGCCCACTAGAAACCTATCAATCTTCGCTGTTAGGTAAAAATCGTGCCATTCCTATGGGAAAACGTATATTTTTCGCATGTTCGCCTCTTGGGCTTTCACCGCGTCCAAGACGGCCCAAGAGGCCTCCAAGACCGCCCCAAGACGGCCCAAGAAGCTTCCAAGAGGGCCCCAGGACAGCCCAAGAGGGCCCCAAGACGGCCCAAGAGGCGCCCAAGATGGCCCAAGAGGGCCCCAAGACGGGCCCAAGAGGGGGCCCAGAGGGGGACCACGAACCGCAAGCTCGAGCCTTCCGCCCCAAGAGGCCGCCAGGAGGCCCCAAGGAGGCCCCTCAAGAGGCCCCAGGAGACCCCCAAGAGGCCCAAAGGAGGCCCCGAGAAGCCCCAAATCGGCCCCAAAATGCTTCGAACCTGCTTCCAGGAGGCCCCCGACAGGTTCAGAGGCTCCCGAGAAGCTACGTCAAACTCCCAGCGAGCGGCCGGACGAGGCCCCCCACAAAATCACAAGAGGGTTCCAGTATTTGTATCCTTCAGCGCTCTCTGGCCTTCTTCCCCCTGCCCCCTTCCCTGCGACTTTCGTTGACTCAAGCTCGCCTCCTAGCTAGAACCTAAGCGCGCGCGAAGCGCGCGCGTGGTTCTAGTATATACATATAACGGCGCACCGGGTCCGGGGGCCCGGGGCCGGGACCTCGACCACAAATGTGGGCCCCGGGGGGCCCGGAGGCTCGTCGGACCGCCGGACGCCGTCCAAGATCGTTCGCAGGCGGCTTCGGAACGCGCTCCGATGGCTCCAGATGCCTTCCAAGACGCCTGTCATGACACCAAGAAGGTCCCAGAAGCCTCCAAGACGCTCCGAGAGGCAGCCCAAGAGAGGCCCAAGAAGCAAAAATCGTGCCATTCCTATGGGAAAACGTATATTTTTCGCATGTTCGCCTCTTGGGCTTTCACCGCGTCCAAGACGGCCCAAGAGGCGCCCAAGACCGCCCCAAGACGGCCCAAGAAGCTTCCAAGAGGGCCCCAGGACAGCCCAAGAGGGCCCCAAGACGGCCCAAGAGGCGCCCAAGATGGCCCAAGAGGGCCCCAAGACGGGCCCAAGAGGGGGCCCAGAGGGGGACCACGAACCGCAAGCTCGAGCCTTCCGCCCCAAGAGGCCGCCAGGAGGCCCCAAGGAGGCCCCTCAAGAGGCCCCAGGAGACCCCCAAGAGGCCCAAAGGAGGCCCCGAGAAGCCCCAAATCGGCCCCCAAAATGCTTCGAACCTGCTTCCAGGAGGCCCCCGACAGGTTCAGAGGCTCCCGAGAAGCTACGTCAAACTCCCAGCGAGCGGCCGGACGAGGCCCCCCACAAAATCACAAGAGGGTTCCAGTATTTGTATCCTTCAGCGCTCTCTGGCCTTCTTCCCCCTGCCCCCTTCCCTGCGACTTTCGTTGACTCAAGCTCGCCTCCTAGCTAGAACCTAAACGCGCGCGAAGCGCGCGCGTGGTTCTAGTATATACATATAACGGCGCACCGGGTCCGGGGGCCCGGGGCCGGGACCTCGACCACAAATGTGGGCCCCGGGGGGCCCGGAGGCTCGTCGGACCGCCGGACGCCGTCCAAGATCGTTCGCAGGCGGCTTCGGAACGCGCTCCGATGGCTCCAGATGCCTTCCAAGACGCCTGTCATGACACCAAGAAGGTCCCAGAAGCCTCCAAGACGCTCCGAGAGGCAGCCCAAGAGAGGCCCAAGAAGCAAAAATCGTGCCATTCCTATGGGAAAACGTATATTTTTCGCATGTTCGCCTCTTGGGCTTTCACCGCGTCCAAGACGGCCCAAGAGGCGCCCAAGACGGTCTACGAGGCCTCCGGGAGCGCTCCAAGGCTGCGCACGAGTGGCCCAGGACGGCCCCAAGACGGCCGAAGAGAGCCCCAAGACGAGTTCGAGAGGGGTCCCAGACGGAGAAAGCCAACCTCGAATTCCGAGCTTCCGGCCCAAGAGGCTCCAGGAGGCGCCAAAATGCCGCCAAGAGGCGCCAAAAGGCTCCCAAAAGCACCCCAAGACGTTCCGAGAGGCACCCCGAGAGAGTATATTTTTCGCATGTTCGCATCGTGGGCTTTCACCGCGTCCAAGACGGCCCAAGAGGCCTCCAAGACGGCCTAGGAGGCCTCCGGGAGCGCTCCAAGGCTGCGCACGAGTGGCTCAGGACGGCCCCAAGACGGCCCAAGAGAACCCCAAGACGACTTCGAGAGGGGTCCCAGAAGGAGAAAGCCACTCTCGAATTCCGAGCTTCCGGCCCAACATATCCCAGGAGGCGCCAAAACGCCGCCCAGAGGCGCCAAAAGGCTTCCAAAATCAGCCCAAGACGTTCCGAGAGGCACCCCAAGAGAGGTCCAAAAAACAAAAATCGTGCCATTCCTATGGGAAAACGTATATTTGTCGCATGTTCGCATCTTGGGCTTTCACCGCGTCCAAGACGGCCCAAGAGGCCTCCAAGACCGCCCCAAGACGGCCCAAGAAGCTTCCAAGAGGGCCCCAGGACAGCCCAAGAGGGCCCCAAGACGGCCCAAGAGGCGCCCAAGATGGCCCAAGAGGGCCCCAAGACGGGCCCAAGAGGGGGCCCAGAGGGGGACCACGAACCGCAAGCTCGAGCCTTCCGCCCCAAGAGGCCGCCAGGAGGCCCCAAGGAGGCCCCTCAAGAGGCCCCAGGAGACCCCCAAGAGGCCCAAAGGAGGCCCCGAGAAGCCCCAAATCGGCCCCCAAAATGCTTCGAACCTGCTTCCAGGAGGCCCCCGACAGGTTCAGAGGCTCCCGAGAAGCTACGTCAAACTCCCAGCGAGCGGCCGGACGAGGCCCCCCACAAAATCACAAGAGGGTTCCAGTATTTGTATCCTTCAGCGATCTCTGGCCTTCTTCCCCCTGCCCCCTTCCCTGCGACTTTCGTTGACTCAAGCTCGCCTCCTAGCTAGAACCTAAGCGCGCGCGAAGCGCGCGCGTGGTTCTAGCATATATATATTTATAGTTGCTGTAATTTTACGAACCGCTTCGCGGGAAACACGGGTGGACCACCGTTCAGTCCACTCCGTCGGGGCCCGTTGCGGCTGTTTTTGGTGCATTTTGGGCCGTCCTGGGGCCGACCGCGGTTTTGCCAGCCGAGGTGCCGCTCCACGATCCTGATTGTGGCCGCCGTGTGCCTCGTGGCCTCCTTCGTGCTCGTTCTCTTTTATCAGACGGGCCAGAGTGCCGTGAACCGCGCGGCGGGTGAGGGCGGTTTCGAGCACGACCGCACCCTGGAGGTGCCCATGGAGCCGCTCTCTGACCCAGCTGCCAGCCTCTCCGTCACAGCAGGGCGAGGAGCGGACTGGCGCGGCTCCGAGGCCCCGGTGTTGTCGGGGGTCGGCGCTGTCGGGGCTCAGGCTCCAGGGGTCAGCGCCAAAGGGGGTCACCCAACCTCTGGCTGACCTCTCGGGCGCCACGTGGGGCCGATTCTCCTGTTGCGCCCTCCGCTGACCCAGGTTTGGGAGTTACTCAGCGGTTGGCCTGGCTTCGCGGCAGGGCCCTGGCTGACCCGAGTTTGTGTGTCCCCGACCCGACGCTGGCGAGGCGGCGTTGGCGGTATCGCCCTCTCCGGCCCCGGTGGGAGACCTCGCGGAGCAGATGGCCGACCTGGCGCCTGTCGCCGATGCGCGTCCGACCACGGCGCCGACCACCACGCCGGAGGAGAGCTCGACATTCGATGACCTGAAACCTCGAACTTCGGCTCCTTCTTGGGGCCTCGTCGCAGGGGAGGACAGCACCACCATGCCGAGCACATCTGACTCGGCCGCGGCCGTGTGGGCGCCAGCCGCCTTGGCCTCGGGGCCCCCGACATTGAAGGACTGCGTCGCCGCGGGCGTGAATTGTCAGGTGTCCCGCTGCTGCACGGCTGCTGGAGAGCGGTGCTACGAGAAGAACAGCACGGCCGCGTTCTGTAAGCCAGAGTGCAGGGCTGGCCCAGACATGACAGAAGAGGAGTTTTCCGTGTGGTCTTGCAAGGGGCTCGGGCCGCGCACCCCCGGGACGGGCGCCAACTTCAATTGGACAAAGATGTTGGTGCCCGATTGGGTAGAGAGCAGGTGTTCGCAGATTGGCACGAATTGCCACGACACGCGGTGCTGCAGCGAGCCCGGCATGCAATGCTACGCAAAGGACGACACGTTCGCAAGGTGCAAGACGGCGTGCATACCTGGCCCCGATTTCGAGGACTACGAGGACGGCACGCCATGGACCTGCCTGGAGGTCGGCCCGCGCACACCCGGCCAGGCCCTACCCAATGTGTCGGACAGGCCGCTGCCAGAGTGGGTCGCAGGGAGTTGCGCGGGCAGCGGGGAGATCTGCAGTGATAGGCGGTGCTGCCGCGAACCTGGCATGCAGTGCTTCGAGAAGAACGAGGGCTGGAGCACTTGCAAGCCAGAGTGTATCCCGGGCCCGCAGCCGGAGGACCGGGCGGACCACAATTGGACTTGCAAGGCGCTTGGCCCGAAGACGCCTGGCGTCGCGGAGGCCCCTGTGATTCGTCGGGGCTCCTTCTTGGTCGTTGGCGACTGGGGCTGGGACCCAAGTGCATCGGGCATCACCCAGGAATGCCAGCTCGACATCGCGGGCGCGATGGACAGCAAAGCGACCGAGCTCGGGGACGTCAAGTTTGTGATCAATTTGGGAGATTCCTTTTACTCCGCAGGCGTTGAGAGCAGTGTCGACCCTCAGTGGGACACGAAGTGGCGCGAGGTATATAGCCCGCAGCTCAGACAGGTACCCTGGTACAGCGTATACGGCGACCGAGACTACCGAAAGGACCCCTGCGCCTGCACCATGCAGGACGAGGAATGCGCCCAGGTCAACTTTGACAAGGACAACCTGGATCGGTTCCAGATGCCAGGCACCAGCTACTCCCTCGAGTACCCGGCGCTGGGCATCGAGCTCGTGGGGTTGGACCTCAACGATTTCCAAAATGGCGCCGACCTCGGGACCAGTGGAGTGGAGCAGGCCAACGCGTTCCAGGATCGCTTCGCGTCGATCTCGGGCGCATCGTCGTCGGCCTATGTCGACGTCGTCGTCGTCGACGGCGTCCGCGTCGTGACGACGACGCAGACAGTCGTCGTCGTCGTCGTCGACGTCGTCGCCATTCGGTGTGCACCGCGTTGAAGGATTGCTTCAAGACCACCTGCTCCTTCATGTGTGCGGGGACCATGAAGAACCGCACGCAGAGGTCTTTGAACTTGTTCTACGAGCGCGTGAAGAGTTCAAGGCAGAAGTCGCTGGTGGTCTTTTCCCACTACCCGACCGACTTCCTCGTCTCGTCTCCGGATTTCCTGGAGACCCTCACGCCGGAGGGTACAAAAATCGCACCCACGCCACGTCAGGCCAGACCCAGCCTGGACTCGGGATCGGTGCGTGTGTGGCCAGGAAGACGTGTGACGTGGATCTTGAATCCAGGACGGGTTTGGCCAGGTCTGGTGTAGGTGTGGTTGGCGCCCGCCCTCTGTACTAGGGACGACTCCTCTCACAGCATCACCTACTTTGGCGCCCACCGCCAGACTACTGACCAGTCCGGCATATCCATCGCCCCGAACACGAACTGGGTGGTCGGCGGCGGCGGCAGCGACACCTGCGCGTCCGAGAAGCAGGGCTTCGTCGTTGGGGAGATCTGGGGCGACAGCTCCATTCGGGGCCCAGAGCTGGTAGCCTTCCCCGTCGAAGCAGTCGGTCGGTGAGTTGAAGAAGGGAATCAGCTCTGGCGGTGTTCAGCCAAAACGCAACGTCTGGCAAGATCCTGCGTTTGCTGACCCCGAACTGTGTGCTGCTAGAGGCTAAAACGCACCGCCGCACGGTGATAGACCACAGTTCAAACGCAGCACTCACTGTCAACATCACAGCGCTCGCATCCAGAAACATTGCCCCCACATCCTAATATGGGTTTTTTGTTAGTCGTGTGACGCCACCACCTCCTGACTCCCTTCCGCCTTCTGCTGCTTCGTATTCAGACTCACTCATACTCAGACTCACTCACACCCAACGTAGACTCCCACGCTCAGACTCCCTCACACTCAGGATCACTCACACAGGCCCACTCACACACAGACCACTCACACTCATATACACTCATCCTCAGACTCACTCGAGACAGATGTTTACCCCCTGGCGATAACGGGCGTGACCGGGGTTAGGGGGTTGGTCATTGGTCACGGGCGTTATCTCGATGATTTATTCATACATCTACACACATATATACATACATATATGTATGTATATGTATATATATATGTGTGTGTGTGTATGCATAACGGGGGACCCGGTCCGGGGGCTAGGGGTCGGGACCCCGACCGCAAATGTGGGGCCTGGCGCGCCGGGAGCCTTGGAGCGCCAGGGGCCGTCCAAGATCGCCCGAAGATGGCTTCGGAACGCTCGAAAACGCGCTCCGATGGTTCCGGATGCCGTTCAAGACGACTCCCATGACGCCAAGAATGCCCCCGAAGGCCCCGAAGACGCCCCAAGAGGCACCCCGAGAGAGCCCCGATAAACAAACATCGTCGATTTCCCATAGGAAAACTAATGTGTTTGGCGTGTTTGCCTTTTGGGCTTCCACTGCGTCCAAGACGGCCCAAGAGGCACCCAAGACGGTCGAGGATGCCCCCAAGAGGGCTCCAAGACGGCCCACGAGGGGGCCAAGACGGCCCACGAGACGCCTCAACCGCCCAAGAACGCCCCAAGGCGCCGCCCAAGACGGGGACGAGGAACAGAAGATTCGAGCGTTTCGGCCCAAGAGGCCCCCAGGAGACCCCAGGAGGCTCCAAGAAGCGCCCAAGAAGCCCCAAGAGGTTCCCAGGAGACCCGAAAAAATACCAAAAGAGGCCCCGAACACGCCCCAAGGGGCACCCCAATAGAGCCCCAACAAGCAAAAATCGTAGGTTTCCGATAGGGAAACTTATATTTTTGGTGTGTTCGCCTTTTGGGCTTCCACTGCGTCCAAGACGGCCCAAGAGGCACCCAAGACGGTCGAGGATGCCCCCAAGAGGGCTCCAAGACGGCCCACGAGGGGGCCAAGACGGCCCCTGAGGTGCCCAAACAGCCCTGGAACGCCCCAAGGCGGCGCCCAAGACGGGGACGAGGAACCGAAGATTCGAGCGTTTTGGCCCAAGAGGCCCCCAGGAGGCTCCAAGAAGCGCCCAAGAAGCCCCAAGAGGTTCCCATGAGACCCGAACAAAACACCAAAAGAGGCCCCGAAGACGCCCCAAGGGGCACCCCAATAGAGCCCCAGACAAACAAAAGTCGTCGGTTTCCGATCGGAGAACTGATGTTTTTGGCGTGTTCGCCTTTTGGGCTTCCACTGCGTCCAAGAAAGACGGCCCAAGAGGCACCCAAGACGGTCGAGGATGCCCCCAAGAGGGCTCCAAGACGGCCCATGAGGGGGCCAAGACGGCCCACGAGACGCTTAAACCACCAAAGAACGCCCCAAGCCGGCGCCCAAGACGGGGACGAGGAACCGAAGATGCTAGCGTTTTGGCCCAAGAGGCCCCCAGGAGACCCCAAGAGGCTCCAAGAAGCGCCCAAGAAGCCCCAAGAGGTTCCCAGGAGACCAGACAAAAACACCAAAACAAGCCCCGAACACGCCCCAAGGGGCACCCCAATAGAGCCCCAACAAGGAGAAATCGTAGGTTTCCGATCGGGCAACTTATATTTTTGGTGTGTTCGCCTTTTGGGCTTCCACTGCGTCCAAGACAGCCCAAGAGGCACCCAAGACGGTCGAGGATGCCCCGAAGAGGGCTCCAAGACGGCCCACGAGGGGGCCAAGACGGCCCCCGAGGCGCCCAAACCGCCCAGGAACGCCCCAAGTCGGCGCCCAAGACGGGGACTGGGAACCGAAGATTCTAGCGCTTTGACCCAAGAGGCCCCCAGGAGATCCCAAGAGGCTTCAAGAAGCGCCCAAGAAGCCCCAACAGGCTTCCATGAGACCCGAACAAAACACCAAAAGAGGCCCCGAACACGCCCCAAGGGGCACCCCAAGAGAGCCCCAGAAAAGCAACAATCGTCGGTTTCCGATAGGAGAACTGATGTTTTTGGCGTGTTCGCCTTTTGGGCTTCCACTGCGTCCAAGACGGCCCAAGAGGCACCCAAGACGGTCGAGGATGCCCCCAAGAGGTCTCCAAGACGGCCCACGAGGGGGCCAAGACGGCCCACGAGACGCCTCAACCGCCCAAGAACGCCCCAAGGCGCCGCCCAAGACGGGGACGAGGAACAGAAGATTCGAGCGTTTTGGCCCAAGAGGCCCCCAGGAGACCCCAGGAGGCTCCAAGAAGCGCCCAAGAAGCCCCAAGAAGTTCCGAAGAGACCCAGAAAAGCACAAAAAGAGGGCACCCCAATACAGCTTCAATAAGCAAAAACCGTCGGTTTCCGATAGGGCAATTCTTTACGCTTCGCGTATCCCCACCAGCCCATCTCAAAACAGCAACTCTTGCGAAGCATGCCGACAGTCGTGTTTTTCAAGCGTGTTTCCGCCTGCCCCCGCATATCTCCCCTGTTCCTCCTTTCTCCCGCCTCCTTGTACATCCTCCTTGTGGTGGGAGCGGGAGAAGGACGAGGCGGAGGAGGAGGGAGAGAAAGCGCTCCTCGTGGTTTCAGTCGTTTGGGGTTTCTCTTCCTGGTGTGAGTCGTTCGGGCCCTTCTTCCTGGTGTGAGTCGTTCGGGCTCTTCGTGGTGTGAGTCGTTCGGGCTCTTCGTCCTGGTGTGAGTCGTTCGGGCTTCTCGTGGTGTGAGTTGTTCGGGCCCCTCGTCCTGGTGTGAGTCGTTCGGGCCCCTCCTCCTGGTGTGACTCGTTCGGGCTCCTCGTGGTGTGAGTCGTTCGGGGCCCTCGTCGTGGTGTGAGTCGTTCGGGCTCCTCGTGGTGTGAGTCGTTCGGGCGCCTCGTCCTGGTGTGAGTCGTTCGGGCCCCTCCTTCTGGTGTGAGTCGTTCGGGCTCTTCGTGGTGTGAGTCGTTCGGGCCCCTCGTCCTGGTGTGAGTCGTTCGGGCTCCTCGTGGCGTGAGGCGTTCGGGCACCTCGTCCCCTTTTGGGGCGTCTTGGGGGCCTCTTGGCGGCCCCAGTGGCTTCTAGGAGCGTCTTGGGTGCCTTGGGGGAGCCTCTTCGGGCCTCTTGGGGGCCTCTTGGAGGCCGTTTGGGGCGTCTTGGGGGCCTCTTGGCGGCCCCAGGGGCTTCCAGGAGCGTCTTGGGTGCCTCGGGGGAGCCTCTTGGGGCCTTTTGGGGGCCTCTTGGGGGCATCTTGGAGGCCTCTTGGGGGCCTCCTGGGGGCCCCTTGGGGCCATCTTGGGGCCTCTTGGTGCCTCCTGGGCGCTTCTTGGGGCCATCTTGGAGGGAGTGGATCAAAGAAGAGGGGAGCTTTAATGAGCGCTGTCCCCTCAGAAGGGCAAAATGAGCCCAAAACCTTCGTAAAATCAATGATTTTGCCTTGGAGGAAGAGGGGAGCTTTCATGAGCGCTGCCCCCTCAGAAGGCCAAAATGGGGCCAACACCGTAGTAAAATCAATGATTTGGGCTTCAAAGGAGAGGGGAGGGTTTTTTCTCCCTCCCCCCGTCGGGGCCAGAATCCTCGTGAGGGGTGTCGTTTTTTAGCCCTCCCAGGAGTCGAATTTGACCCCCCTGACGACCCGCGAGGCGCCCTCTCCAGGCCCAGGGGGAGGGGGTAGGGGGAGGGGTAAACCCCTCCCCGAAGGGGAAGAAGGGGGGTTGAGAACAGAGCGGGCTCTCTAAACCACTCACGCCCAAAGGGCTGGTGGGATTAACATGGTTCCCAACCATCCTGAGGTGTTGGGTCCTCGTTTTGAAGAGACAGCGCCCCGCGTTCATCATCATCATCATCATCATAATCATCATCATCATCATCATCATCATCATCATCATCATCATCATCATCATCATCATCATCATCATCACCATCACGTACCTCCACGACCGCGGAGTCCGCGTCGCTGGCATCCAGAAGGCCCGTCTCCCAGATCAGGGCTGCCAGGAGCTCAACCACTACTACGCGTTCACCGCCGCCGCCAACTCGGACGGCACCGGCGGCGTCCAGCTGTGGATCCACAAGGACCTCCACGCGACCGCCAGCAAGGCCGCCACCAACGTCGTCAACCCACGCCTCCTCCGCACCGAGGCCTCTATCGCAGGCTGCGCCGTTACGGCGATTTCTGCGCACGCACCTGTCTCATCGGCCCCTACCCAGGACAAGCGCGACTTCTGGGATGCCCTGCACAGGGAGCACCGGCAGGCGCGGCACCGGACGTCCATCATCGTCTTCATCGATGGCAATGACGACGACGAGGCCCATGGCGTGAACTCCAACTACCAGTTCTCACAGGAGTGCCGCCTCGCCAACCATCTCGCCGACGCGGCGGAGCTCCTCGGCAGCGAGGAACCCACGTAGTTCGACATACTTGGCAACGAAAAGCGGTGCGACCACATCTAGCTTGG